GTTTAACGTTGGATTTATATATTAATTAAACGACGGCCGAGCGGTACTTTGCATTTCCTGCTTGCGCTCGGGTGTACCGTAAATAACATCCCCGCGCGATTTTCGCTATCGGTATCGCGGTGAATCGGCGGCCGGCGAGCGCGTTAATTTATTGTCTTCCAGCCGACGTCAATCTCACTGATTGTCGTTATCATCAGTGAGACCGGCCCACGTTGCAACGGCGGGAAAGAGAGGAAGGCAGAAAGAGAAAGAGAGAGAGAGAGAGAGAGAGAGGGGGGGGAGAAGAAAAAATTCTCTAGACGCGCTCGTCTAATCATTGCGCCACTCGAGAGCGGAGCTATCTCGAGCAGGAAGAAAGTGCGCCGCTAAAAGCGCGACGTGCGTGCTTTCACATAAATATCGGCTTGATAAATGTACCGGCCGGGGCGTTATGGATGGAGAATATTAGAATGGCACATGGCGATCGCACGCGGCGATGGCCGCTCTGCTATTGTAGGCGTAGCGAGAGAGAGAGAGAGAGAGAGAGAGAGAGAGAGAGAGAGAGAGAGAGAGAGAGAGAGTGAGCGGAGATTAAACGCGATCCCAATCAAGACGATTCACGCGCTCGCGCTTCCGCGTCCTTCGACGGAAACGTTGCACTCGATCCATCAACAATTACGGCGATTAAGATCCGCGTGAACAATCCGGAGCGCGAGCGCGAGCACGAGCGAGAACCCGCCGCTTTGTTAACCCGTGGCCGTCTCGCGGCGGGGGGTGAGCGGGGCGCGTCCAGAAATAACCGGTGACATCTGACGGGAGAAATACAGCACCGATAGAATTCGTTATTGGGACTATTCGGACGTTGCAAAGAAATGCGCGCTCGCGGAGCGGCCCGTTTACCTTCCTGCGTGCGCCTGCGTGTATTTTGATTCCAGATAACTCCCTCATTACTTTAACGCCCGGTATTCTTCCCTTCCGACACCTCTGTTTGACTCCTGTTCTTATAGTAAAAAGAACATAGTTAAAAAAATTATTATAAATTATTAAAATTATTCGCAATAATTGACATCGAGTATCTTCGCGTCTCGCGAGTGTTGAGGAAAGTAGCTTGCTGGATTTTCTCGCTGAAGAAAATCCTACGGCAGCTTTTTCCGTATCAGACTCGAGGACACGGCTCGTGGGAGAAAAAAGATCGGCGGACTCGCGAAAAGTCCTTCCGCTGCGTCGTTCCACGGCCCGGCAGGTCTCAGCGGCGCGTGTAAAGCCATTCTCGCGTGGTAAATTGGCACGACGAACGTAATAAAGGCCAAGCCTCTCGAACGTACTCATTGTCGAGGATACGGACGAGCGGATTACGGGCGAGACGAGCTCGCAATTGCGTTACGAGCGTATCCACCGACGCGGGATTAACCTGTTGGAATAGACCAGTGCCCGTAGATAGATCAAGGTGCGCATCGGGCCGCGAGATTAGTCGCCGATAGTAAACGGGTTGACACGTCCGAGACGGTTATATCCTACGGTATCCTACGCAGGGCAGGGGCTGTTAGCTCGCGGCGCGCATTGTAACACCCGCGCGCAGGAACAATGGGAAGCTCGTGCGGGATGATTGATCGCGCTGCTGGATGCGATCGCACCTACCCGCTCCTCTTCTCCGCGAGACATCAGCGTCTCTTATCTCGCCGGCTCTTCGTCTTACGCGCGCGGACGCTGCGCTTGATGAGTCTCGCTGAGTCCGCCGCTCATTAGACGAACTGCGCACGTACACTGAGAGAAAAGTATATGATATTTGGAACTATAATGATATAGTAACTAAATTATAGTCCGAAATATCATATTTATAGTAAGTATCGCCATAATATCGGTAATAATTACGATATAGGCATAGTTACGATATAACCAACCATATAATATTTTTACTAAGAATTATAGTAAGTTAAACTAAAATTATCGTACGGATACAAATATAAAATGGTAGGTAAAAGTAACTCTTTTATATAGTCAATATTACCAGAATATTTGCTAATTGATGACAGATGTAACTGTAATATGAATATTAAATCTCACTATATTTGTGAATGAGAAATTACCATATATAAATGATAAAACTAAACAATTATTTCAGACAATCATTGACTTTATATTTGTGTTTATTCTACTATATTTTGCAGGTTCCACCAACTATAAAAATATGATTGACGTCAAAATGAACTGTAAAATATAGTGAGATTATAGTTAATTCAACTATACTTTTCTATCAGTGTACGCGAGTACGAACTCTAGCGATGAACTTGCGCAGGAATAGATTCCATGTTGAAAAGCAAGCGAAAGGGTAAACATTAGAGATGTGCGAACTATTCGAATTCGAATCGAATTCCTATGATTCGAATCCGAATAATTCGAATAGGAATCGAATATATTATCGTTTGTGTGCATCAGCTACAAAACGGGCCAACTGGACCTGTACTTGAACCCTTAACTTGTAATTAGCTTAATTTATAATTAATAACATAATTATAAATTATTTTAATTATTTAAATACATATTTTACTTTAAGATGGTATTACAACATCAATATTCCCTTTGATATTAAAATCTTCCATCATTATTTGCATGTTTAGTAGTCATGTTAAATTTTTTGATGATTCGATTCGATTTCATTCGATATGATTCGAATTCGAATTTAAAAAATGAGATTCAATTCGATTCGATTCGACATAAAAATTCTTAATTCGCACATCTCTAGTAAGCATATAGGGTAAGTCCGGGATAGACGGACATAGTTTTTAACGAACGAATTTACGTTAATTATTAGTTTTTTTAACAGAAATAACACATCTGTATTATTGCAATAAATGAGCGACAACATATTAACGCACTCAGTAGAGGACAATGTTTACAGTAGAGCAGAATTTTTGTAGAGAAAAAGAAAGAAAAAAGAATTCATGAGACGCCAGTAATAACGAAACATTAAAAATATTCTCTGAGGGATAGATAGGTCAGGTGTGTCCAGGTTAGACGGTCGTAGGTGAAGGGATAGTTGGGCTTGCCTATAATAATGTGGAAATTTGTTTGTCTTTATTTAGTCTTTATTAGTATTTTACGTCCTTTCGCAGAATTTCGTCCGCTTCGGCCGAAACACGTCTGGCCCGTTGATCGAAGCGATCTTTTTTTTTTCGACGTGTGGGTTCGCCCACACGCGCGTATTCGATATGCAATAATCCATTCTTGCAAGCTGCCACGTCGACGCATACAATTCGAACGCATCCACCGCCGATCTGCGGTCGCGTAATCGAGACGCTATCGTCAATAATTCCAATATCGAGGCAGCTGTAATTTCAGCCGCGACGCAAACATTTTGTTCCGGTTACTCTAGTCCGTATCATCCGCACCGCAACCGACGCAGCGTATCTTTTCCACGTACTTCGGCCGATCGATGCCTATAATTCCAGCGTTATCAGCGAGATCATCGCTGAGCCCGCGAGAGTATTAACGCAATCCGTCGCGCGGATCCCACGATCCACGCGGCTCGCGAATCCTTGCCGATCTCCTCGATTTAATCAAAAGCCCATTCCCGCCGTCCGGCGGGAATTCGACACGCCGATCGACGGCCAGAGCGTTTAGTTTCATTCGCACGCGGCTGTCCCGCGGATCGCGATCGAGATCGCGTGGGTCGTGAGCGAGGTGCACCGCGGACTCGACTTATGCAAATTCAATTTAGCCCGCCCGTGCAGCGAAGGAGGACCGGTCAGGCTCGGCTCGGCCACGTGGCCGAACACTTCGGCGTATTGCCACTTGGAGGATGTTCGGAAGTAACGTGTCGCGTCATCATCGAGAGCGCGATGCGTCGAAGAAGATATTCCGCGTGGAATGCCCCTCCTTAATCATTTACGTTAGGTAGCACCTGCTTGCGAGGATTATTAGCGACTACACTTTGTACATGGCGTATACCACGGCAACCTGCTCTGTACATTATTCTTCTACAATGTAATCTTGTCATCTATTTCACTCTCGTGCACAGGGGTGTCTTGAATTGTATCCTATTCTTATCCCATTTACCCCGTCCTTATTTACAAGCGTAGGAATTTTCTCGCTGGTCGTCCGCGCGTAGATTCCTCGTAGTCGCAAATCTGCCTTGAAATTGCTGCTTGCAGAATGTGCGATTGTTCGAAATTCACAGGACGAGCGGCATTCGACATGCGTCGAACACGGAACGCGCGCGTCGACAGGACCACGTTCCTCGCTCGCGAATCGCCGAGCCGCAGTCGCCTTCGCCCTCCGACGCGTCTCCGCTTTTCTCCGCTTGCGACCCTAAAAAGCGGGACGTAGTCTGAAACGCACTTGGAATCTTCTTACGCTAAGCGCATTCCGCTGCCGCGCTGCGCCGCGCGGCGCAGGGTGCGCGCAACTCACAATGACAGCGTGCGAGAAAGAGAGAGAGAGAGGGGGGGGATCGCTGGCGGGAGGATGGAAGGCCGCGATTGATAGATAAATAGAACGAGCAGGCGCGCAGAGGGTGGGAGGGGGGAGTGTAGCGGGAGGAAGAAAACGACGCACCTTGAAATCGGCTCGTCTTAAGTCGCGGCAGCTGGCCGGTTCCTTCGTTTTATTTCGCATGACGGGCATCAAGGACCCGCGCGCGTTGCTTCTGCCAGCCTCTCATAACCGCTTCATTATCCGCCACTTTATAAATACGTTCCGCTGGCTGGCATCGTACGCGCGGGATCCGCCTATCGACGCGCGCTTGGCTTTTACAAAAGTCTCTCTCTCTCTCTCTCTCTCTCTCTCTCGACAATCGAGAAGGCTGACTGCGCGTCGCAGCGCGACGTGCCGGCTCCTCATGACTCCCCTTTCTCAGCCGGCTCGTTAGACCGGGCGACATGTGTACCGCGCGACGGCGACGTCGTCGTCGTCGTCGTCGTCGTCGTATTCCGCGGGGATTTCGTCGGAGAAAGCGCGTTTAGCTCGTTCCCGGCCATTGAGCGCAACACCGCTGACGTTTCCACTCCTCCGTTTGTTCTCAGGAGGAAATCGGCGAGATCATCGAGTCAGCCCCGACGACTCCGCTGCGCGTCGCCGCGGAGGAGCCCAAGTTCCCGAGCCAGGCCGAGAGATCGTCGAGCCGCGCGATCGAGTCGATCGCCAGGTCGAAGCCGTCGGCCGCAAAGTCGCAACACTTGGCGAGGCGGGAGAAGCCCGCGCCGCGAGGCGGCGAGGACACCGGCGACTGGCCGAACAACGTCCTCGCGGAGTTCAACAGCCTAATCGCCCACGAGATCAGAGAGCTGACCAAAGAGAAGACGAGGACGACGGCAGCGGCGCGGGCCGGCCGCAACGACGACAAGGTGGTGCAGTACAAAGAGCTGCTGAACGAATTCGGCTTATCCGACAGTTCCGAGAGCTCCGATCGGCCGGCCAACGGCGATCAGTATGCCCTCTTCGCCGTGGGCGCGCGGGAGACCTCTCGGGACCGCAGGGACGAGAAGCCGGCGGTCGTCGACGACGACGACGGCGACGACGACGACGATGACGACGAGGACGAGGATCGTCGCTGCCTGCTGCTGAACTCCGACTACGACGAGCCGCAGGACCGAGTGATCCCCGACGGGAGGAAGAGCGGCAGCCTGCCGGAGAACCTGCAGGACATCATCGTCGGCAAACGCGGCCGGTTCCACGCCGCGGACGTCTTGAGCTCGGACTACGACGAGCCCAACGGCTGCTTGCCGATGAATCCCATCAGGAACCAGATCGATCGGATCACCTCTAGTCTACCGTCCAAGCTAGAGCGCGAGTGCGCTCCGGGGGACGCGCGAGTGAAGCCTTGCCGAGCACCAAAGACACCCGTAGGATTAAGTTCGAGGATCAATGAGGACAAGGTCGACGCGCTGCTGCGAGTCGAATCATCCGTCGCCGCCGCCGCCGCGGGAGAACCCGAGGAGGTGAACGCGAGGTTGCCGCCGCGGCAGCGATCCGACAGGAAGATCAACCTGCCGAGCAGCCTGACGAACCAAAAGCGCCGGAAAGTAGCGCGGCTGCAGAGGACTCGCCGTGGCCCGGACGACCAGGAGACCATGGAGCCCGATTACGACGATGTGTTTCCGAGCGAGGAGACCGACAGATCCAGGTCCTTGGAGCAGCACGCGCCCAAGTCTGCGCCTGTCACGCCTACCGACGAGAAGAAGCCGCCCTTCTCGAAGTTGCTGAGGAAACGGCACACCCCGCTGTTCCATGAGAGCTCCGACGACGTTGTCCTGGTGAGTATGTCCTCGCTGCCGGACCAGGACCTGCTGCGGCTGAGGAACGACAGGCCCAGCGAGACGAAGAACGACAGGACTGCTGCGAGGGAAGCGTCCGCGACGAAGAAGAGGGCGATCTCGCCGCTGACCCTGCGCTCCGACATCACCGCCAAGAGACTGTCGGAATCGGACAAGGATGTGCGACAGGTCAGCCCGGTGGACCTGAAGAAGTTCTCGCTGCTGCGGCCATGGGGCAACGACGTCGCCGTGGGCTGCGACTTGCCCGAGAGCAACGACCTCGACGGGAACTACGGCCTCCCAAACGACACCTTTGGCAAGCTGGAGCACGCCGAGGTGAAGAGGATCATCGACGAGCAGAACGCGAGAGCTGGCTCCGTAAGTCTGATGTTGATGTTCGTGTGGTTGTTTGTTTCCGGTCGCTGGTTGATATCGAAAGCAGCTGTTCACTTGGCAGGAAGAACAGCGTAGGCGTAGGCGAACTCGGCGGAAATTTTAGCCGAATCTGATTCAAGATTTCGCGATCGCGCATTCGGGGCAAATTTAATGAAACCGATTAATTAAATTAAATGGTTATTAATTTGATTATTAATAAGCGGTTATTGATTAAACTGATTATCAATACGTCTCTCGCAACACGGGGGAAGAGATTGTCGTCTTCAGGACGAGGCATCTCGTTTTCTTCTTTTCCTCGGTGAAAACTCACCTGGTCCGTTCACTGCCGCGTCAATTTGATGAATTTTTCCTTCTCGTGTACGACGTTTCTCTAAATCCGATCCGAAAGCTCGCCGGTGGAAAAGCTCGAAAGTATATCGAAACACGCGAGTTACACCGCGCAACGTAGATAATCACACGGCGGAGCTCGCACTGATTAGTTTATCCGATTCCGCTTGCAGTTGCCTATTTCCCTGCAGTCCCTATTGTCGAGAATACGAAACGGCTCGGGCTCCTGCTGCCCGAATAGCCCGCCCATGGACACTCTCGCCTGCTCCGACGTGGCGACCCAAACCTCGCCGGCGATTTCGAGGAGCTCCAGCTTCACCTGGGTCAGCGATTGCGACTCTCCCCAAGGTAATTTTCGTGTATCATTCGGGTTGCTCTCTCTCTCTCTCTCTCTCTCTTCTCCTCTTCCCTCCCCCCCCCCTCTCTCTCTCTCTCTCTCTCCTTCTCTCTGTCCGCACGATATATATTCATGAGATTAGTTAACGCCCGTGAAATTTATTTCCGTTCTGCCTCTCCGTAATCCAGTGCGCGTCCATCGCGCAAGGGTTCCGTTTATCGATGATTTACGTTTAGATTAACTCGCCGCTTACCGGCTTACCTTTCGGGCTCGCTCCTCGGGCCCGTCGAAGCCACACACAGACGCACACAGCTGTTTCGGCTAATCTTTTCGCGCAATATTGAATAACGAGGCAGAAGGATCTTTTCACGGAGAAAATCCCGTGATATATTTATTTTCAATATCTTCCTGGCTGAGAGGACATTTCCGAGTGATTAATAATCGCGCGAGAACGCAAACAGCTGCATACGTCTTGTTTCGTTGACACACCTTGTCAACATTATGAAAACTTCGAAGATGTGCGAGAAGTAGAGTAGGTTTTTACACCGGAATAATATGTCTCGAGAGAAAAGTCGAGACGGCAGTTTCGCGGAGACATCTCGAGTAAGAGAGGCTAAAGCGCGCGATATTAAATATTATTCCGCGGAATATCGTTCGTACACCGTTCGACGCCGTAAAAGTTCCAAGCGTGCGTAATTCAGCGGGCGAAGGCGATAGGCGCAGCGTTAATCCTATAGACCCACTTACAGTTTGTTAAATTGCTTTTCCCTTTCTCTTTCTCTCTCTCTCTCTCTTTCTCTCTTTCTCTCTTTCTCTCTCTCTCTCTCTCTCTCTCTCTCTCTCTCTCTCTCTCTCTCTCTTTCTCTCTCTTTCTCTCTCTTTCTCTCTCTTTCCACCGTAGCCGAGTCACAATTAGATTCGCAGTCGTTGCAAGACGAAAGCACGTTAGACCCAGTTTCTCCGCAAGACACCGTGGACGACGACAACAGATCCTCGTCGTCGTCGCAGGAGCTCTTACAGAGCATGGACGAGATTTCCTCCGGAAGTCTGTCGCCGGACACCACTGACAGAGCATCTCCGCTCGAGAGCGGCATCGGCACTGCGAGTCCTCCCAGAAGCACCGACCGGCGGCTGACCAAACGTGAGATCGCTTGAAGATATTTTTCAGTAGCGTCTCTTTCGTAGATCGGTCCCGAAGACGAACCGGCAGATTCGTATTTTCCGTATATTTTCCGTACACCAAGAAAGAAAGTAACTTCAGAACAAGCGGGATCATCTAAATTTTAGAGGGTTTTATTCTTAGGCGTGGCCTCAAGAGGATTCCTCTAAGATCAAGAGGAAAATATTATAAACTGATTATTCTTAAAGTTAGAACGATTGTATGTTATGTGTATAATGCAAATCTTATCGATTTTAATATAAATTCCCTCTTGTACATAGATTATTTAATCTTTTTTTAAGAGGATTATTATTTAGTTGCACATACCTTTTTTAAAAAAATGTTCCAAACATTCTGACCTATGAGCATATGATTATTTTTTCGTTCATGTCTGGAAATAGAGTATGACTGAACCAAAAAAGCCGATATGTAAATCAACATATTCCTCTTCATATAAGAGGAAAATTAATCGATATAAGAGAAAATCCTCTTGAAATAAGGGAAAACGGTTAGAATAATATTTAATAAATTTTAGATGAATGATACACTTTAATCGCTTTATCGAAAGAAGAATCCTTTTTCTGTTTTCTAAGGCTTCACTTAGAATATGAGGCTATGAAAAAAATCACTTTACAAATAGAATACGTTTTTTTGGGTGTAGTCCTCGAATCAACGAGGTCTTATCAATCTCGATTGATCTTGCTAATTTGTTTTACATCTCTTTGTAACACACGCCAAAAGTCTGAGTTGAAGGGGAAACCTTTGTCGCCTACACGCGCTTGAACGCGTTATCGCGGGATCGGCGAAGAGCGGGGTTTGCTGAAATCTCGATGCACTTGTACCTTGCGTAGCGTCAACGCCGAACAAATGCCACCGTAAGGAGACGTGGGAGCGGATCCGGCGACGACCGTCGAAACTGAACTCGCGAAGCGACAAGAACTCGCAGGACGTGTGGGTGAAACGCGAAAGCGTGCACACGCAAACGAAGAAGAACGACGACCAGTACTCGCAGGAGGCGATAGACAGCAGTAGCGGCCTGGATGACTCCTTGCCGAGGATCAAGGCGCCCCGGCCTACGAATTTACCGCTATGTGAGTCACGTTTAGCGTAGCCTCCGAGTCTACCTCCTACGCGTCATATCGAGACTGTTATCCCCCCGCCTCCCGCCTCCCGCCTTTTATTACATTCGGCATACGAATCGCTTATAGGGAAAGATTATTTTATTTTATCAGCTCAGTTTTACGGTCAACTCTTGATCGGAGGTAATCCACTCTCTCTCTCTACGTTGATTTATATGTATATTTATCTCATCGAAATTTTATTTATATCAGATCGCGGACCTTGCGGATCATTTCTCATGAATGAACCAACGCGAAAACTGATTAAAGATTTTTTTTCACACAATTTATCGTTTATTATTCTTCGCTCTTTGCATTGTTAAAAATGACGATAATTTAACGATTAACGATCTTCGATTTAAATCAATCGCGTACACTATTACTCTTCTCGTTCCCACGTTTCATAATAGTTTATTTCTCTTTGCTTTCCCAAGGTCAAACTCAACAGACGTCCATGTTTGTTTACCTACTCGTGTTCGCGGCCTTCCCCGACATTCCCAAGAAATTTGCAGATATCCAGCTACACGAATAATTCTAATGTAAACAATTTTTTGTCCACTTTAGCCTGTCTTTCTGCGACAGGCTTGTCCACAGCGAGCAGTTCATTGAGTTCGGGCGAGCTGCTCGAGACGCCGCCTCGAGCGCCGTCGTCACCATCCGCGGCGAGTCTCCAGCTGAAGCCGGAACCCCTGGCCGTGGAAATGGGCGGAAAGAGCAGCAGTGCGCCGTTACTGGAGAACAACGACGCCGAGGACGCCGAGAGAAAGGTGCCGGTGAGTGTCTCTCGTGTAAATACATCGAATTTCAAGAGATTATTATAACACACGGAAGGAGAGTCGATCGTCGAAAAATATAGTCTCCAGGCTGAACACGCGCCAGGCTAGATTTTTCTCTCGCTCGAATCTCCTCTCGAGCCAGTTATCACGCCGATATCGTCGAATTGTCTCTCGGTGAAAGTAGAGGGAACCCGCTAAATATCCGTCCGCTTATCCGGCATTGCTACGCATTCATTGCCGTTGCGCCAAGATAACGCTCGCGAAAATCGCGTCGCATTATCCCGAGCGGATCAGCCGTCTTCATAAACTTGTAACGCGGCCGAACGGCGCGTGTTTGCGTAAATCGACGTGCGCGGGCAAAAACCAGTCGTCGAGGTCCGCCGGTCGTCGCGGAGGCTGCTGTTCTCTCTCGCGCGCGGAGTGTGTACAAAGGTATGTAACATTTCCACTCTGCGGCGTCGGAGACGACGTTATTTCACGTGCGCAAGAGTCGCGCGGAGCGACGGCGACGACCTTCTCTCGCACATTCGCGAGATCCGCCCTTCGAGGGGGAGCGAAGAACCGCATCGGCGCACAGTGGGGCAAGACTGATATGTTTTGTTCAAAATGGTCTAGAGACCTCGAAACTTCACGAAATGAAACAAATTTTTTTTTAGTTACTCGTTGAAAGATAACGAAGAAGACTGTCTGAGCCGATTTTCGAAAAAATTCAACCCTAAGGACCTACAACCCCATAATCCCATTAGAAAAATACACAACCCAATAACGAACCCTTTCACCCAATAGCTCAGTCACACCAGACTACTAAAACTCGCAACATAACAACTCCATAACCCTATAACCCTATAACCCAAAGACTTATAACGGAATAACTATAAAATCAATTACTACAAGTGATAATAAATTCATAACTCAATAATACCATAAACAATAACTCCATGACTCCATATAATTAAAATGAAAACTATAATAACTAACTATAGTAACTTTGCTCATAGTCTAGCACAACCCGAATTAGCTACACTTTCAGCTGAACAACTGTATTCATATTGTTTATAGTGTTATTGGATTATGATTTTATTGTCACTTGTAGTAATTGATTTGTAGTTATTGCGTTGTAAGTCTTTGGGTTATGGGGTTATTAGATTATTATGGAGTTGTTGCGTTGTGTGTTTTAGTAGTGTTGGTGTGACTGAGCTATTGGGTTTTAGGATTAAAGTTACACTGATAGAAAAATATAGTTGAATTAACTATAATCTCACTATATTTTACAGTTCATTTTGGCGTCAACCATATTTTTATAGTTGGTGGAACCTGCAAAATACAGTAGAATAAACGCCAATATATAGCCAATGATTGTCTTAAATAATTGTTTAGTTACTTTTACCACATATATGGTAATTTCTCATTCACGAATATAGTGAGATTTAATATTCATATAATTACATCATTTAGCAAATATTCTGGTAATATTGACTATATAAAAGAGTTATTTTACCTACCATTTTATATTTGTATCCATACAATAATTTTAGTTTAACTTATTATAATTCTTAGTAAAAATATTATATGATTGGTTATACCATGCCTATATCGTAATTATTACCGATATTACTTACTATAAATAATACTTACTATAAATATGATATTTCGGACTATAATTTAGTTATTATATCATTATAGTTCCAAATATCATATATTTTTCTCTCAGTGTACCGATTTATGTGTTGTGGTTTTTCGTTATTGGGTTGTGTATTTTTCTAATGGGATTATGGGTTTGTAGGTTTTTGAGGTTGAATTTTTTCAAAAATCGGCTCAGACAGTCTTTTTCGTTATCCTTCAACGAGTAATTAAAAAGAAATTTGTTTCATTTCGTTAAGTTTTGAAGTCTCTAGACCATTTTGAAGAAAAAAATGAGACGCAGCGACGCAGGCGACGGTAGCGCAGCGCGTTCAGCTGGCCACGCTCACTCCCCATCTCGTCCTTGTTTATATCCTGACTGCTCTTCTTCAGCGCGCGAACACGCGCAACGCCTTACGTAAGCGACAGCCAACTGACGTCAAGTCACCGGCGCGGCGGCTTGAATCGCCCCTTAAAATATCGATAGCTAACTCGAGCATGACTCGTCGAGCGAGAGGCTCGCTCGCTCGGTCTCCTTCTCCCTCCTGCCCCTCTCCTTCTCGACGTTTACATCGCGGGTATCGTCCTGGACGCGACGGCGGGCATTAATCGCGCGCGGCAGCGAAGCGTGTAGTACGGCGCTCGGTATCGAGATTACCGGCGCGGTATCGCCGCGGCTACACGGCTCTCCGTAGCCTCGGACCGCGCCGCGTTCGCCACGCGGAGATTCGCGTTCACGGGCCGCTATTAGTCTCTGCCCACGTGGTGAACGCACGTCGGCCGACATTGACTATCCAGCCGGCGGCACGTCCCGACGCGAGCGAGCGAGGAGAGACCATGGAGACAGAGAGAGAGAGAGAGAGAGAGAGAGAGAGAGCCAGGAGTGTCGTAAGATCGACACTTTGTTGCCCCGATGAGGGGCCCATCGGGTCCCGACAGGTATACCCACCTGTCTCGCGAAGGGAGTCCCTCGCGAAAGCAGTCAGCTCGTCGCTCTCCGCTCCATGGGAACCGGTCGAGCCGCGATCGAGCACCGTGTGAGGAGTCTCTCGCCTGGTCACGGCGTTAGACGCGCGCGCCTTTAAAGTGCGCGTCATTGATCTTCTATGATTGATCGCCCGCGGGAGTAATTAATCTCCGCGAGTCCCTCGACAAATTTCGGCGTGGGAGCCCGAGATACAAATTGCCGAGCGAGAACGGTCGGCGGCGGGGCGGTCGCTTGCGGATCGACCTGTCGCTGAAAACGCCTTCTTCGTGCGTCCGTAATGACGGGCGAGGCATTTTCGCGGCGATCGTCGATCCTCGAAGAGCAAACTGCGATACTACGAATACGCGGAAATTAATATTCCAGTGAAAATATTCCGCTGAAAAGTAGACGTTTCCGCTTGGCGGTTCGTTTCTCCAACCAATTTGCACGGAAGAACGCAACGGCGGAATCGAGTTGAATTCGCCGATTGATCTCTCGACAACGCGCGCTTCTCGTCGAGCAAGTTGCCGCAAACAGTCGATCAGCGGCTGGTCGATCAGCGGCTGGTCGGCGGGTCGAGCGGCTGATTAATTTCAGCTTGGTACTTCCGTGTTTCCCGTTCAAAGATACTCGGTAATTAGCCGGCTGTTTACAATGGCGTCCAGCGGAGCAAATGGACGAGCGGCTAAATAGGTCGCGCTCATCCCGTGCGCCGTTTCCCGCGTTCTTCCATCGGCGCTTCTCTCGCTCTCGAAACTGTGCCTCATCGTCTTTCTCTCTCGCTCGTACACGCGAAATAGCCCGCATCGTGGACATTCGCTCCATGCGCGAGAATCGTGCAAGGTCAGTCTTTGACGGGCAAACTCGTCGCTCCGCATGGACGCACTTGGAATGGGCCGAGTCGATATCCTATTTGCTTCAAGTATTTTCGGCGCGACCGATTGCGAGAGGGTATAAGCTGGATCGCGCGAGTCGCAGCGCTGCGCATTTCGCATTCCATGTGCGCGCGAATAGGTCGCAGGTCGACCTTTGATGCCGCAGTAACGTGCGCGCGCGCGCGCGCGAGCGAGCGAGCGAGCGAGCGAGCGAGTCTCTCTCTCTCTCTTCGCGAATTTATCCCCGCGGTTTTCGTAGGACGGTGGCCGCGTATGCAAATTATCAATGAAGTGTCAGTACACGAGGAGGTTCGCGCTCGAGTGAGCACGCTGCCTCGGTAAACTGGCCGCGGCGTTGCACGAGCGCGCGGAAGTCGCGCGTGAACACCCGGTACCGGATTGCCCGTGTTGCTGAGCGATCAAAGCTAATGGGGTAGCCAGCCGTGCTGGCGTATTAATCGGTTGGCATCCCTCGAACCTCGAATATAGCCATGGCCGTGTGTCTGTCATGTACGCGTGCACGAAGGCCGCCGTGGAAAACTTGGGCTCTCCCTCTCTCCCTCTCCCTCTCCCTTTCTCTTCCGCTCTGTAGCCCGGCTGAACTTTAAATGCGCATCTCTCTCTCTCTCTCTCTCTCTCTCTCTCTCTCTCTCTCTCTCTCTCTCTCTCTCTCTCTCTCTCTCTCTCAAATCAGTGACGCACGATTATTTGCCTGCCGAATCGGCAGGCACGATAGAAACCTCTCATTTGTGTGTCTCCCGCGCGGTTGAAGTCTCGGTTAGCCGCAAATTCGGTCTTGCAGGAGTTATGAAACTCGTGGCCGAATTAAAGCGCTCGACTTGCTGTAGCATTTGTCTCAACATTGATGTCTACACTTTGCGTGGGAATTGTATGCGCGTTTGATTCTTCTCGGTGGTCCTTTTCGAGGAACACTGCAAAAGTCGACAGGTTTTGTCCCAAATTCTCGGACATTTTTCTAGAAATTTCACGAGAATCTTTCTCTCTCTCTCTCTCTCTCTCTCTCTCTCTCTCTCTCTCTCTCCCTCTCTCTCTCTTTCTCTCTCTGTCTTCGTTTATAACACCGAGAAGGACAATTACACGCGCACGCGGGAACGTCGCGGAATAAAATAGAGATCAGAGACATTTTTGTTTTGAAAGCTGGCAAGATTGCAGTGACGCAATCGCGCTTCGTTCGTCCGTAATGCACGCTTCTGGAAATGTGACGGATCAAAAGGGAGATACGATTGTTTGAGCGCGCGGAGGAGTTTTCAGCAAGAGTGTAGCGCATCTCTCTCCGCGCCGCATTGTCCCGTCCCTCGTACATTGTTCGAAGAACGGGGTGACTCAACGGGATCCTGAGAAACGACGTAACTCTTGTTCGAGAATTTCGCGGGGCCTGCTTTGAAGCCTGGCAAAAGCCACGGAAAAAAAGGAGAGAAACGCGGCCACGCCTGTTCGGTTTCTCTCGTGAAATATTTGACGGGCGGGATCTAGGATTTTTCAATATACGGCATCGATATATACACTCGGAGAGAATGTCCGCGACACTTTTACGATCGCGTAACGGCGAGGTCCCTCCTCGCAGTCACGACTCACTTTGTGATCTCGCCTTTATTCCGGCCTTTGTTTGCGTTAATTTCAATATGAATCATATTTTAACGACGGTTTTAATAACTGAGCCCCCAAGAGTAACGACGCCGACGGGACGATTAAAGAGAGAAAGAGGGAAAGAGAATGAAACGTGAGATCTCCCCGAAGTCTCTCCTGACAATATTGAGCTCAACGTCGCCGCTCGGTCGATTCCTTCGCAGGTTTCACGCAGCGTGAATATTTTTCCTTTATTATGAATTCTCTTCTTTATTTTTCCTTAACTTTTACGTTTCTCACGATTCTTTCACGCTTCGATTTCGCGTTCCCGATAATTGCTTCGACGTTCGCCTTTTTTGAGGTGAAAACACGTGCGCCGTGTGCTCTATTCCGCGGGTCAATCGCGAGATTCTCCCTCCCCCCCATTTTCATTTCAACGATTATTGGAGGAATATCGATCGCCGTGGTGTATACGTTCAATGAGACGCGACGTAGATAAGGTCACGGCTGTCCGTTGTTTCCGAGGCCGACCGGCTCAATACCGCAAGTGGGTCAGGGTTCGACCACGTCGATTATTAGTTAACCCCCGTTGCTAGGAAATCACGAGGAAGCTAGGATTCGCTAGTATCGAGACGAAGGCGCACGGCGAATGTTCCGCTCAGCCGTGCAACGGGGCAACTTCGCTCTCGCTCTTGCGAGAGACTTCGACCGCTCCGAGACGACGCATCGCGTTGTCGCGCTGAAAATCGCAACAATAATGCAACTCCTTGATTTACGCGCAGTGCGATCTCTCGCTGAAGCCCGCTGGCGTTTCACGTAGCGCACACGCATGACGCGGTCCTTTGGGCCGCTACCGAGTAAAAAATTGTTCTAGGGCTATCCTCATGAAACATAAAGGTCCGATAAGGATGAAAGTAGGATGCCCTAAAAAGGGATGCCTCATTTATTATCACATCAAGCCCTGAGATGAATCTTTTAGGGATACCTTGGATTTTACGAAATAAGGTTTTGCTAGGGGAAGCTGCTAAGAGCCTTGGAAGAATTTTTTAGGGATGTCTTAGACCTTACGATGCCTTAGAAGGATCTTTTAAGAGGTTGCTTTAGATATACAAAATTAAGTTTTGTTATAGAAAATTTATAAGATCTGAATCTGCGTGTAATAAAATTATCATAGTTTAGTATTGTTTTAGTAGATACGCTCTATCCAGTTCTCTTAAAGATTTTTTAATCATACCGCAATTGAAAACAAATTTTATTAGTTTTCTTAGTTGTCATATTCATTAGTCTCTTCTAAGGATTCTTCTAGTATTGCCTTCGCGTTTTGAAATGCAGCAAATTTTAATAAAAACAGTAGCAGGATTTTTATGTATAAAGAATGCTATATTTCATCGTAAAGTATGCTATATTTTTAAAATAAAAATATCCTGTTGTATACTAAAAAGATTATAAAGAAATAAAGAAATTACAGTCTAAATTTCTCGGAATAAAGAAAAGAACGAATATTGTTACTCAAGCAGTAATAAAAATATTTCCTTATAAGGGCCTATTAATATTGTCTTACACTGTAGGAAATTATGTGTTAAATTTAACAAATTTCGTGAGTCTCAAATCATCCACTCTCATTAAATGTTATGTTAATTTAACATACAGCAAATATGTTAAAAAGTAACACGCATAATGTGTAAAAAATTAACACGAAAATTTAACATTTGAATGCCATCAAGAATCACAGTTTGTGTTAAATTGACATACAATGAATGTTACTACAACATTTGGGAAAAGTAATGATCTATGATTTGATGAAATGAAAATGTTAGATTGACATAACCTATGTGTTAAAAATCCAATCTTTACATACCAGAAAACACATGAAAAATATGATAACAAGTGATAACCGTTATGATGACGAAAGTACAACACATTTTAGCTGTTGACTTTAACATATAAAATATGTCATAGCAAGAATTCATGCATTTACATATAAATTGTGTTATTTTAACACTTAGGAAATGTTATTTCAATACTTGAAAATAGTTAATCTTAATTTGACACAATAAAGTCTAAGTGACACAACAACGATATGTAAAATTAACACATGACTGTGTAAAAAATTTAACACAAAGCTTTCTACGCACGAAAAATTTTAACAAAAGTACGAAACGTTTTTAACTGCGTATAATGATCCGCTAAACCATTTGTTACCTATCTTGTAGGGTCCTTATCTTTCTAGGGCTCGATTAATGTTAGGGAAAAATAATTACCAGAGGCCCTTACCAGAGAGCCTTGTTGATTTTTCTACTCGGGTATCCCTGTGCGCGAAACAGGCTTTACTAGTTTACTAACTGGCCGTTGAACGATCGAGCCAATTTATCGCGGGCGACGCACCTGCGCCGGGAGCGGCGAGCTTTTCGACAAGCTTTTGATACCCGTTTCTTCGTTGCTTTCAGAGCTTGCAGCAGCAGCCGCGCTCGCAGTCGGAACGGCAGCTATCAGGTGAGTCTCTCCGCGAGACGCGACCCCGCGCCCCGACGGGGTTGAGCTGAGCGAGTCGCGCCGTTCGTTCGTTCGCCGGGCGCAACTGTTCGTCCGGGCGAACAGGACTTCTCGACAGGACGCGGCGCGCTCGCCGCCGCGGAAAAACGACCGCGTGCGATTTCAAGGCGATACCGGCGGCGCGGCCCACGCGCGAGTCCGCTCGCGTGGGCGGACGCGCGCGGCGCGCGTTCTCTCTCACGCGATTCTCCAGCGACGCGATAAGTGGCTCTCTCGGTTTGTTGTTAATCTCCTCCTGCGCGTTAATCCGCCTGCCGAGCGCGCTCGCACGCGCTCCAGGACGCTGTATACGTGCGTGCGTGCGTGCGTGCGTGCGTGCGTGCGTGCGTGCGTGCAGCAGGAGAGATAGAGGCGGCCACGTCCGACGCGGGAGAGCGAGATTGATTATTTATAAGTGCCTGGTACTCTCTTTTGTCACCTGGCAGTCCTCTTACCGGAGGAGCGCTCATGGCAAATTGATGGGTGGAATACGCGTATTGGCTTCTCTAAATGGCGATGGGCGATCTCGATTCGGTTTTCGTCATCAGTCTGTTTCTGCGAAATTCAATTTTTCAAATCGACCCCTTCCTGCTCGGTTTTGTACAAATCGATTTCTGCAAAAGTGACTTGGGTTCTTCGTTAAGCGATAATAACGTTAATGAACAAGTATATCAGGGGATTGGAACCCGATTGTCTGTTGGAGAGAACTGTGTAAAAGGATCGAGTGGGAAAGAATCGAGCCGATTTTTCTCGAGGAAACGATCGATTTCCTGAAGATCGAATCGAGATCGCTCATCGATAAGTTTCTAAATAACGCGCGCAAGCGCAGCGCTGATTTAATCGCTTATCGGAAATAAATTTGCTGTTCTAAATTCACGGCCGACTCCGTTGCTCGTACCGAAGCGGGAAAAATGATCGTTTCGAGTGTTGCATAGTGTGCATAAACAATACACACAGCGCGCGCGCGCGCGCGCACGCACACACACACACACACACACACACACACACACACACACACACACACACACACACACCACCACACGCGCGCGCGCGCACACACAATTGGCGGCGGGCCCAAACGTGTCCTCTGCTGATCCGCGGCTGATTACAATTGAACGAGCGACGGTTGTCAGCTCACGATCTGCCAATCCGCCATTAATTTGCTCTCTTCTCCCCGCGGGGGAGAGGTGCAAACGAGCTCCGACACGGGCGATAATGAATATTGACATGTGCGATCGCGAGGCGAACGAAACGGGAGGGAAGCCGCGTCGGGCGGTCGGTCTGCCGAGATCGATGCCGATCTCCTCGGACGATATCGACCGAGCGCTATCGTCCGATAACGAGTTTAGCGCGTAATTAATTCCCCTCGCGAGGGAGGAAACGGCGGTAGAGAGCGACGCGATGAAATGCAATTTGCGGCGGCGCGTTGCAAACGGCGGAATTTTCGCCCTCCGACCGCGATGATACCGTAATGCGCTGTCTGAAGGTTCATTACGCGGAGGACTCGCGGCCGCGACCGCGTGACTTCCACCGGCTTGACTTAACGCGCGTGTAATATCGCGCGCGCCATTTGCGCGCCACGAAATTAATCGAAGGCACCCGAGGCGGCGCGACCTGCGCGTAATTTTCGACGTGCGATGCTCCGACATTTATTCGGTTACGCTATTTTTTCCCGGGGAGGGGGGGGGGAAGGAGCCGATTATTCTTTGCGAGTCGCGAAGAAACGCGCATCCATTTGCCCAGCCTGTATGTGCGATCTGGCTCTCGATAAATATCGAGAGGTCCCGTCATATTAAATAATGTAATTTTATTATATCATCAACTTTTTAATGCCCCGAGGAAATTTATATTTACCGTACCGAAGAGGTAAAGAGATTTATGGATATTATAGGATGAGAGATCGTGCACGCGGTGGGATACAAGACAGAGGAAGAGAGAGAGAGAGAGAGAGAGAGAGAGAGAGAGAGAGAGAGAGGGAGGGAGAGAGAGAGAGAGAAAGAAAGAAGTGGAAGTTTAATTAACTTCTCGTAGAAATTGGAAAAATAATGATATAAAGATAATGATAGATGTCGAGAGATTCAGCTCGCAGCTCGGCCCTCGTCTTCTCCCGCTCTGCATGAGAAAGTTCCATCGCTTCCTATTTCGAGCGCTCACGCGCGTGCGGTTGTATTGTGTCGAATTCGACCGCGAAAGTTTAATTAATTATCGACGTGGACTAATTGCTTTCTCGCGGTGCGATCTCGCGGTGCACGACGTGATTATGACTTCCGGTATACACGCAGGTGGGCACGCCCAAAGCCAGAATGCGTCCGCGTAGATGCGCGGCGATGCACTTTCCTTCTCGCCGAAGGCGAGATCGAATCGGCCGACTTAAGCGGCGCGCTTAATCGAATGAATCTCGCGATAGGAATATAGGAAACGAAAAGAGCGGACAACCGCACTGCGCGCGCGATGACTCTTGACAGAGTGGAAAATCGGCGATACCGCAGCCGCGGCCGCAGCCGCCTTGAACTAGAAAATTACTTCCCCGGCGCCGCGGCGTTGCGAGAAAAAGGAGAAAGGATCTATTTATTATCCGCTTCGAAAATAAAAGCCCGCCCCGCATTATCCTCGCCGAGGAACTGTCCGTTTCTTTACGATCCGCCGATTATGCGCATAGTAATTAGTAATTTCGTTGCGAACGTCAAAGGTCAAGCGTCACTTAAAATCACGTACATGCGATCGCATCGTCGTTTTCCTCCACTCTCGATTTGTCATCCTCGGTATTTATAGTCCTTCAAATGCGGTGATACTTACTCTCCTTTTCCCTGTCTCTCCCCCCCTCTCTTGCGCCCTCTTTTCCTCTTTCTCTTCGATATCACGGTATTCAAAACGAGGATAATTTATTCACGTCGAGAAACGACCTTATTAAGTAACCGTGACGGCCACTGTCTGGAATTAATTATTCGAAAGCACCCTCGCGGCTTCGCGAGAGAACACGTAGGTCACGCGCTAACGTCGCACGTGTGCGCGACGGTGAGAGCGCAAAAATAAATAGGACAATTCGATACAAGTTGAACGGTGACGCAAAGAGATACGTTTCGTTGCTTCTTCCCGCCGATGATTCGAATTAATATTTATTCGCCGTCGCCGACGTGTTCTCTCTGCCATTCTTATACCGTTATTTCCTCACAAAGTGACGTGACGAACAAACGACGGAGGGGAAACCGTATCTAATTTACGCGACGGAAATAAAGGGAGAGAAAGAAGCGATCAAACGTTTGGCGCGAAATAATTCTGAGCGATAAATTATTTCTAGGAATTTATAGCCGATGGCGCGCACCGCGCGGCGGCGACTCGTGATTGAGGTTAACGACTAAATTTACCGTTGATTCAAAAGTCCTGTTTCTCGTATTTCTATGGTGGACTGTCGTTTCTGGTATTTTCAAAAAATGTCAACATTTTTATTACATCGTAATTTTGACGCGTGGAAAACGTACAATACGAGAGAGAGGAAGAGAGAGAGAGAGAGTGGCGCGTCCCTTCGGGAACGAAGGATTAACGATTTAAGTAAGCTTGTATCGTTTCTCGTCGGAGCAGCCGTTAAGTCGCGTTAGATGTTCTCATACGAATATTTGCAACGTTTTCACGACCCAAAGTTGAATACTTATACATGTGACACGGAGTCGCTAAGACATTTTTTTCTCGCAGCAAAATTTCTTTTTTTTCTCCTTTATTACGAGCTGTTCTGAAATGTGTCGACTTCTCTCTTGGTATCGCCCGCGACACGCACGCGTCATCAGGTTACGGAAGGACGATGGTATTAATAGAGCAAGCAGCGAATATTTGTTGAATAACTTCATTAAACTAAATAGCTCGCGGTTTGCTTCGCATTGTCCGCGGAGTCAGCCGCCACGACACGCACGATTCGCGTGAATAGCGGCAACGGAAATAAATGACAGTGCGAGAAGCGCAGCGGTAACAATATCGGATTAATCCTCGCCAAGAAAACTGGAGCAGCGTCCTACGCGCTCTTTGGCGTTAAGCCGCCAAGAGCAGATCAATATTCGGGACATGACGAAAACATTGTTGTCTCATTGTGGAAACGATGCTTTTGCAAACTTTTTCGATATCGCCCGTGAACCGTCACAGAGAGGGAAACGCTCTTGTTGCTCCGTCACGTCCGATTCAGTCTTTTTTTATCTCGGTATTATTATCATACGCATTAACCTTGGTGTATAACTTCATATATATGATACATAAGTAATCGTATAAAAAATCTACAACACAAATGCGACGTGGCGGTGAAGAAAAATCGTAAAGCACGTTTCCATTGGGTCGCGAGTATCCCGATTAATCTTGTCTTCCGCTGATCATTCTCTATTCCGCTCGGTTTGGTCCTTTCTCTTTTTTTTATGACTAGAGCGCGGATTTACTAAATAAATCTCTCGCTTATCGACACGTAGCCGAATATTGGATACGGAAATAGCATTTTCTTCCGGCGAGTGAGGCGCTTTGAAAATCGCGCGTCGCTCTTCGAAATTCATTCGAAGCGGGCTAAATATTGTATTAATCAAACCGGTTCATGTCGGGCTTCTCGGCATCGTCGTCGTCGGCAGTAATGGCGTTATGCGCGGAATGTATCGGACACGGATAGGATCGCGCGAAAGAAGCGCAAAACAGGGGAAAAATTGCAGGAAAAGCGCGGCTCGCGCCGGGACGCTTGCGCCGCGACGGCGGCGGCGCCGCCGCCGCCGCTACTGCCGCCGCCGCCGCCGCCGCCGCCGCCGCCGTCGTCGTCGTCGTCGTCGTCGGTGAGCTTTCGTTCCCCGATGGAAGTCGTCGCCAGTCGTCGCTATCACGGGCACCGCGGCGTTCGGCCGCAGTTTACGAGGCGGCTTTCCACGCGAGTCGCGCGCGGCTCTCGCGCGGCTGTCACGCGGCTCGTTTTTCGAGCCGTGTTATCGTGCGCGCACGCTTCG